GCAGATTAAACAAGGATGATATATCAAACCAGTACATAAATTGCAGATTAAACAAGGATGATATATCAAACGAGTACATAAATTGCAGATTAACCAAGGATGATATATCAAACCAGTACATAAATTGCAGATCAAACAAGGATGACATATCAAACCAGTACATACCTTGTCTTTGCTGTCCTTTTTCTTCTCCTTGTCCTTGCCATCGCCACTCGAGTCGTCTCTGGCAGTTTCCTTCTCCTTCTTCCCTTTGATCTTCTCCGTCGCATTTCTCTCCGTCTCCTTGCCCTTGTCGGTGTCGTTGTCTTTGTGCACATCTTTATCCATATCCTTATCCTTGTCCTTATATTTGTCCTTATCTTTTCCCTTCTCCTTGTCTTTATCTTTGTCCTTATCTTTCTTCTTGTCCTTCTTGTCGTCTACATGCCCGTCCTCCTTTGCATCGCCTTCATCTGTCGCTGTGCTGTCTGTCCCTGTGCGCTCGTATGCTTCGTAGACACGACATATCTCATGCACTACACCCTCTCTTTGAAAATAAAACCCAAACACGTCTGGCATCTTGTTCATGAGTGTCGAGGCCATTTGCAGACCTTGCTGCACCTGTACAAGGGACGTGTATGGGATGAACAACTGTGTGTACAGAAAACTACAACCCCATTGCGTCTGGGATGAATCACTGTGTGTACAGAAAACTACAACCCCATTGCGTCTGGGAGCGATGAAGTAATGCACAGGTCATCTCGACATCTTGCGGACTACATTCACTGTGCCATGTACATGCAAAGACTTAACTAGTAGACCCCTGTCACTTGCGGCAGCTGTACCTGTACCATATGTCCACCATACAGATATACCTACTGCACCACTAGTATACGGCATGTCAACAGAACTACTCAAGCAGGCATCATCTGCAGATGCATTTTTAGGGCAACATCTGCAGATGCATATTTAGGGCATCATCTGCGGGTGCATATCTAGGGCATCATCTGCAGATGCATATCTAGGGCATCATCTGCGGGTGCATATCTAGGGCATCATCTGCAGATGCATATCTAGGGCATCATCTGCAGATACATATCTAGGGCATCATCTGCAGATGCATATCTAGGGCATCATCTGCAGATACATATCTAGGGCATCATCTTCAGATGCATATCTAGGGCATCATCTGCAGATGCATATCTAGGGCATCATCTGCAGATACATATCTAGGGCATCATCTGCAGATGCATATCTAGGGCATCATCTGCAGATGCATATCTAGGGCATCAACTACAGATGCATATCTAGGGCATCATCTGCAGATGCATATCTAGGGCATCATCTGCAGATGCATATCTAGGGCATCATCTGCAGATGCATATCTAGGGCATCCCCCTGGTAAGATGCACAAATGCCTTTAACACCTTCTGACCTCGCGCGTTGCGCGGTGAAAAGTGTCAGACTCTGCAAGCAACACTCACGAACACGCACACTATACACGCTCAGGCCATGCGTGTGTATACATGCAACCATACCTCACTCTCGCTCTTCCTCGCCAGTTGCGCAGCCAGATAGCTGGACACGGCTATGTCTTTGAGTGACTTCTTCAGCTCCGATGCCGTAGAGAAGTACAGGACTTTATTCAGAACACGTGCTGACTCTGTGCGCGCACGTGCGCCGAAGGAGTAGTCGGGCATTGCCATGACAACAGGGATGAAGATGGCCGCCAATTCGGGAAGAAACGTGGGATGGTCACTCAGTAGTTTGACTCTGTATGCAACCATCGCGTCGCAGATGAAGGTGACTATGAGAATTTTGTGTATATTTGTACAGATATACGCACGTATTTATGTTTGTGCACAGATATGTATTTCATATCGCAAGACTAAACAGCATCGAGTAAGGCGAGCTTGTTCACTACCAGAGAACGAAGGCAAAAATAATAATGTTGAAAGAGGAAGGCCAATATTACAGAGCCAACACATGTACAGAGAATACTTACATGTCGAGTATGAATTAGTTGCAAACCACATATGTGAGCCATAATGGTACCATATTTCTACTATACGATTTGTGAATACAAATCTATGCGCGCAGATTTAAAAAATGCACATCATATCTGAAAATCAAAAAGACATACGATACATAGTGCGGTGAAAACGATATTGAATAAGCACCTATATTCATACAGGTATACACACACATGTAGCAGATGTTCATTTGAATCTACTATGAGAAATCAACAGCTGTAACTATACTGCTATCTGCGATAAATTCTGGGAATGGGAGGATATGCATTGATATACAAACTAGAGCTGCACACACCTAGGGTCAACCGGCGGGTTCTGATCTGGCCCTGAGTCTTTGCTGTTAGTCTCGCCTGGTGTGGTTGTGCTGGCACTTGCGTCGGTGTCCACTGTTGCACTACTACTGAGCGCAAAAGGAAGGTACACACACATTCAGAAGGGATGCGATATATTGAGCAAATACAGTGATAGACATGTGAGGTATTGAATGTGTATGCTAACAGAGAAAAAACGTGATATTGAGACTGGAGTGAATACGTTGATAGAGAATGTGAGTTATTGGGTGTGTGCGCTGATAGAGAATGTGAGTTATTGGGTATGTGCGCTGATAGAGATTTGTGTGTATTGAGTGTGTATGTACACATGATACCAGCCGGTGGACATACTGTACCTCTGTGTGTGGTATTGTGTGGTGCTGCTGTGCTGTCACCTGCATGAGTATCCGTTAGTGTAGCGGTGAGGATCATGCAGATCTATGTGATTGAACTCGTGTGTTGTTAAGTCAGAGAAATTTCGACAGCATGCGCGAATACTTTGATAAGCGTGTGTACACTAATTATACGTATTCAGTGACAGTTCCAGTGTGCACAATGACTCCACTTCAGACCTCAACAGCGTGCGTCAATCAAGTAGTGGGACGTAATAGCTTCGCTGCTTGGACTGGCGCAGATATATTTACTGTTGATTTTAGAATAACATAATGAGTAGTGCCGTGTTTTAATTAGTACATTGAACTTTCAATGCCTTCTATGCTAATGGTAGTGTCCTTTCATTATAGCTACATATGTGTGTACGCGTGCATACTCAGAAAGAAGGTTGAAAATACACGTACAAGTATGTCTATTTGCATGCGTGTATTGCTGTTTTGACGTGCAGAGTTGTACAAGCCAGATTGCGTGCGTAGGTACTGCGTATGGGAATTGAATGGCAGCAATCGTTATCGTACAGGCACGATGCATCAGATATTTTCAAAGTATATGTGAGTGTATGTGTCACACAACCAAGTTTGGGCATCATAATGCACACAAAGTGTACGTAAGTACATGACCATAAAGGAGTTAAGAAGTATACCATTACTCATTCAATAAAACCCCCCAAATTGAAGTGAGGCTTGCAATAGTATATTGCCATAAAATACGAGAAACAATAAAACTATGTTCAGATATATACACACGGCCTATATATGAATAAATACAGGTAACATATCCACAAAAGTATACGTACATGCGGGAGTAAGATAAACTTTGAATATACATGTGGTCTATATATAT